ACACACGTGCATTCATATATACATATGCTGTCCCTTCATCCTGTTTAGGGATTCGGGGTATTGCATAGCTGATTGTATCACAGTATAATTACAGTTGTGAAACCATAGAGAAAATCCACTAAACAAGCAAATTCATGAGAAGTTTCTTGTACGTATAAGAATATGTGACACAACACTGCCATTTAGTCTTCAGACGATAACTATTTTGATGAGTATGCACAAAACATCATTTTCTGAATATTACCACATTATAATTATACCTGGAGTATAGTTCAAAGAGGACAGTACTTAACCAGTACAAGATGGTACTCAACTCAAAGTCAGTATGAGGCAGTTTCCTATGTTTCATACAGATTTTTTTTTCTTTTTATCAATGGACTCTGGGCAGGTTTCAGCTTAGCAAGAGAATAGGATGGAGAAGATTCTGACTGGTAGTCTACTTCAGCTGCTCCAAAATAGTGCATTTAAGGCATACTTCATTGCTGTTTTCCTCTTTGCTACATTTGAAGTCTCTTGCTTTGCTTCATTACTCACACATTCACTTTCACAAATTCTAAGGAAAACACCTGTGTGAAAGTCCTCATCTCTAACATAAGGTTTGCTCACCTTTCATTTAAAGTAAAGGTGCAGTGGTAGTGACTGGGTGAAATTTGTAAGCATTCCTCTCATCTTTGTTTCACAGTGAGGCATTGTTTCAGTTGTTTTGGTCTTCCAAAGTCCTTTACACTTTTCAAACCAGCTCACATTTTAGCATCCTTGGTATGTGCTCTGCAGCTCGCAGGCACCCCTTGGTCAGGCTGTTTTTTAATGCTGAGAAACTATTTTGCAAAGGAATGCTTTTGAGGCATGGGGGTGGGGGTGAGGGAGGATATGTACAGGGTTCAGTGTGGTAGAAATCAGTCAGATAGAACGTGCAGGGGGAAAAAGTTATCCCTTTTCTATACAACTTTGTCATCTTCTGTTCAGAGGGGTCATTTGCTCCCAGCCAAAGAACCTTTCCTGAGAAGTTTACTGTTGTTTTTTGCTTTTTGATTACAATAGCTCGTTTCCCCCCCCAAAAAACAGACTAAAGAACAATAAACAAATACAAAAGGAAAGGGAACAGCTCATCAATAACAAAGGCCTGCATTTGAAAGCTTTTGGCTTACTGATTCTCACATCTCATTCCAAGGAAAGCAGAAGCCCTGCAGAGAAAGGAATTCAGAAGATAGGGAAATATTAAAATAGTAAAAAGCAGAATGGTTGTTAAAGCCTGTGATGGTTTGGTGGAAAGAAGGAAGCTTTTTACTACAAAACAGTTGGGGACAATTTCCTCACCATTGCCACCTCCACCCCTATTCTTTGCTTCAGGTTGTTGGCTAGTTTGAGAAATTGGTGTCACTCTGCTATAAGCCTGATTGTTCTTGAGAAGAACCAGAAGGTTATTTTGAATTTGGACAATATAAAAAAGGCTATAGAAATGAAGCAAAAAAGGAGCTAAATACACCTTTTGGAATTGCTAGCTAACTAATGTGAAACATCTAGTGTCAATCTCTAGAGAAGCAAACTTGGTATTTGTTTCTTTCCAAGATGCATGTTGTTATTGTCAAAGTGTTTGTAGAAGGCAGACATTTGCTACTGGATAGTGAAACTGTGCAATTTTATGTAATTATATCCTCCTCCCCCCCAGGTTTAATGAAGGACTTCTAACTACAATTTATCTTTTGATAAATAGACCCTTTGCACAGAATTAGATTGACAGCAGAATGTACTCTGTAAGCTTTCTTGCTTTGCCACATGATTCAGAAGAATTATAATAGAAGTAAAAAGCTTTTATTGCACTGTAATTTCACCAAAGGATCATATCCTTTAAAAGTGGACAGACAGTTGTGTGTCTTGATTGCAAAACACAGTCAAGAGCAAGAAACAAAGAAACAAGTACAAGATGTTGTCATTTTGCCTGTCACAGAGTACAGCAGTTCTGGCAACTTTTCCCATCATCCTCACCACCACCTCCCCCCACTTCTCTAGGCAAATACCACAGGCCTGTTTTGTGTGTGACAGAATTCTAAGGTGCATTATTAGATTATCTTTCTTGTTTTTAGAAAATATAAGCCAGCATATATCAGAATTGTTTAAAATGTGTTAAGGCTGGAAGGGAAAAAGAGTGGGCTACTAAAACATGATTTTGAGAACATTGTTTACTGTTTACCTCTCTTGTAAACTTCTGTACATATTGTTCTGTTTTGCTTGTTCCTGCATGCATCCCAAATAAGTTTCTAGATTTTTATTCTGGGAAATTCTAATGAATGTTTTGCAGGAAAACTGTTTCCTCTTGGGCCTCTTCTAGACTTCTAATCTAATGCAACGATTTTTTTGCGGGGGGGGTATTCTTCTATCTAGAATATTTCTCTTAAATCAGCAAGCCATTTTAAATGAGCTTACAGAGGAAATAATTGTGCATGCAGATTTGAGTCAGGGCTGTTTATTCTCTCTGAGCAGCAATGATCCTTATTGCACATGAGGTAGACATATATTGCTATTAATTCTAGATGATGGTGTGGCATCCCTAAATAATACAATGGCATGGGGTTACTGTTTGGAAAGATGGATTTTTGTGTCTTGGCTTATTTCTTTTGGTAAGACTCAGCATGCTGACAGCCACCTGGTTGCTTTGGTGCTTCGGTGTATTGGAAGCCTACAGATTTGTTGTTGGCTTCATTCTCAGCAGGTTTTGTATTATATTTTTCATAAAAATTTACAGCATTCTTTTACGTTATCAATTACCCTCTGGCTCTGAGTGATTTTGCTTTAGTTTATCTTCTTTCTTCATCTGTGTATGCAAGATGTACAGTAATGAGCTTGACCAGATTAATAAGGTGACATACAGTTGATTCAAGGAAGTATCTGGAAACCTCAATGAATTGACTGGGAATTATGTGAGTCACCCATCTGTGCTACCACAGCTACCATAAACTTTGAGAACCTCTGACTGTGCAGGTTTTTGACAGGTCATGTTCTAGGTGCTTAGAATATTTTGCCATTTTTAAAAATCAACTTTCATTCATCCTGTCATTTTGAATAGAACTGATGTCTGTCCATCTGGGAAACAAAGGGCAATTTAATCTGGTTTCAGTTGTACTGTTTCTTTGTTCACCATAACTCAGTGTTTTCTAATTGTACTTTTTGGAACAGTGGTATTTTGCACGGAAAAAACTGGAAATTACGAACTAGTCATTTTAAAGGTGATCTGCCTGTCAATTGTTTGCAGTTGAGAAGACAACTGCATGTTTTCTAGGATGCACATTGCTTGTTCTGTGTTAGGCTTCTTGCTTACCTAAAGCCCACTTTGTATTGCAAAGTGGAGGAAATGCATATGGAGTTGTATGCGTGAGTGGACACATCCACACTGATTCAAAAGTAAGTTTAAGATTGGACCCTAAGAATGTAATGTACAATCTGTCCCCCAGAGATTTCATTCCATAGGTTATTTATCGGAGGTGCTAATATGATTTAAGCACATTTGTAGGGTGAGAGTGGAAATTGCACATACTTTTATTTTAATAATAAAAATTCAGTTTCTAAATACTGCAGAAACTGAGATACTGATACTGGTTTATTTTGACACAAACTATTATTGCATGCTTTTGTAAAGGCAAAATTTATTATCTACGTTGATTTAGCTGGTGAGGGAAGTCAAGGATTAGGATATTTCTGACAGAGACCTGCTGCCATCTACTGGATTGCTGAATGTAGTGTCCAGGATAAGCTTTAAAATTGTGTGCCATAGAAATGAAAATTGACATGGTTGCAGGGTATGGATGATATTTTCATTTTTAACACTCTCTCTCACACACAAACAGATAAGCCTGATTTAAATATCAAATTGCAGAACTGTTGTTGTTGTGTTATGTTAAACTGGCTTTTTGAGGAGGATAATATTGGGGCATATTCCGTTTAAAAGTGTGTGTAAGTTTTGGGAGTGTAATTGGCTGTACATAGAAGCAAACAACTCCACATAACACAGAATATTATAATGGATTCTTACTGCTGTTGTTGCCTCTGTCACTCTTTCAACATAGGGTCTTCTTTGGCAATTTTTTTGTGGTGCTGAAATTTTTTCTGTGATGTTCTCAGAAATCCAGTCACCTTTCTAGAAGAAACAGGGAAGTGGAGGGATGTGGAAGTAAGAGTAGTCCATGGGCTTAATGTCTTGTGGGGCGGGAATCAAACTTTGGGTTCATTGTGTTTCGTGTTTTCAAATATCCTATCTATTGAGGTATACTTTTTTGATTTCTTTTTTAAAATTATTGGTGCATCTTTTTTTATTTTGTTGATCAGTTTCCTAGAATTTTACATCACTATAATAACAAAGTTTGATTGGAAGCAATTGGGGAGATTATTTTTCAGCTCCATTTTAACAAGTCTTCCACAGTGTTTATAATTGATGTTATTAAAATATCAGTCATTTTTATTTAATAAGTTGTGTAGTAGAGAAGGAAGGAAGGAAGGGCATAAGCAGGCAGAAAAGTTGCAGAATATTTCCAATTGTTGAACATTTGCAAAAGGACATATCTGGTTTAATGTGCCATATTCTTTATGTTAATTTAAGACTAATTTGTTATGAATGCTTAGCTACTTTAAAAATTCTTTAAAATACATTTGTTTGTTTGTTTATCAATAAATTTAATAGATATTTTAAAATCCTACGACTTACAGAAAGAGCCCTCAGTTTATTTATTTGTTCGGTCATTTGTTTTTATTTATTTTGCATCACACAAATGATACAGCAGTGCTTTTAAACAAATTTGCTCTGATACGTTTATTACTTTCACCCATCTTGCTTTCATTTTAAAAAAAACCTTAAGCAGCAGCAGCAGTAGTAGTTCAAATGCTAAGGTATAAATATGTGCCTGTATACCTTATGTCCATTTGATTAATCATGAATTTAGAGTTTAGTATTTCTTTGATATTATGAATTTTGTGACATTTCTCTCCATTCTCTTCTCTCCTGTCTCAAGCACAAGTTGCGTATTCTGACTAAACTTGCTGCTGAACTGAATAAATACATGCCAGAGAAAGTCGCTGAGGATAGCACAAGCATCTTGAGATCACCAATGCCTGGAGCAGTAGTGGCAGTTTCTGTAAAGCCAGGTGACATGGTAAGATATTTTCTGGTCTTCATTGAGTTAAATTAAGAGTAATTCTCCTGGGGCATCAAGGAGAATTCACATAATATTTATTTTACCAATTCCTCAATGCTTTTATTTTATGCCTAAAAATATACACTTGTGAAGTGGCAAATGTTTACAAATGCAAAATACACATAAAGGAGTCTTGCTGGACATGGTTTCCATGTGTATACTTGGTGGCAACTGTTCTGCTGCAGTAGAAGTTCCTCATGCTCTACATAATTTGCTCTTGAAAGTACAGATCATCTTTCTTTCATGTTCCTGCATGAAAGAAAGTGTGCTCAGCTCATGTTTGGAAGAAAGAAACTGCTGAAATCATTGCAGATCTGTGAATAGCTTTTGTGATTAAGCAGAGAAGTTTATCCCAGTGCATGTTATCTTTTAGTAAATGTATTTCCAAGGGAAAACTTTATAATCATAATATGATTCCCGGTCTCCCTTAGCATTGAAAACATACATTGTTAACTGCTACTAGTCAAACTAATAAGGAATAAACAAAAGTCTTCTGATTTCAATTTTATTATACTATCTTTTAAATGAATTTAAATATTCATTCAGTTTGCAGAATTACGCTAAAACCAAAATAGCCTTAGATATATATATATGTGAACTCTCACTGACTTCAATTGGACACTAACAGTGAGTTAACTGACCACATGGAACAAAGACATAAAAGTGAGGTTTTCAAATGAGTGGCGTTTTCCTCTGTGAATGTGATGGATGTGTTCATGGTTAACAATAAACCAGGATTCCTGGTTTATCTTGACAATATAACATGCAGCATGTGTACTGCCACTACATTCTTCATTCTTCTTCCCTTTTGAAAGGGACAGTATTTATGCATTTTAAAAAGTTGATTTTAACTTTAAAAAACCCTCTTGTACTTAAAAATCTAAAAATATTGCCTCAGTTTAAATCCCAAATCCATCAACATTTTTATGTGTGAGAGGAACTGCTTTGGTTGGATAGGTTTTACTCTTCAGCTTAGCTGACAAAATGTGTGAAGAGCATGTGTTTGGCCTCCTAACATTTAGATGCTCTTTCTCAATCTGTGAAGAAGCCTTTTAAAGAAATGGCTGTCAAATTATCATAAAAATACATGGTTGGTATTAAAGGTTTTCAGAATGACCAAGTGGCAGTAGCTAAACTAACTGTTGATTCTTATTTTCTCCTTGTCAGTCCTGCCATTCCTTCATGCAGTAGAACTTAAAAATCATAAGGTACAAGGCAAATAATTTTTTCGGGGTGGGAATCATCCATAACAGAATCTTGTTTTTACTAAATCTGTTGTATTTTCATGATATCAGAATAGACTGAAAATCATAGATAATATAATATATCTTTGTACATATGTGACTAGTGTGTACTTTGTGCGCCTGTAGAAACAGCAGCAAGAGCTTGGCAGCTTGGCTGTATTAGCCTGGAAATTAAAATGAGGAAAACATTCTTCCCATACAATCAAACATTCCAAAAGAAGTACGATGCAATACCAAACAAGCTGTTAAATAATGAGGGGAGAGTTCTTTCTTGCCCCCCCCCATCCCCACCTTCTTCCTGCCCCTGAGTTTTTGCTGGAGGCACTGAGAGGCAGAGCATTTGAACAGTCCAGGCTTATGTTCTGCTGATTTGGACTTGTCAGTGGTAATTGGGCAGCTTTAATTGCAAAAACACGTTGTAGTGTTGAAAGGGAGTTTAGTGTAAATCCTTCCTTTCCAGGACTGATGTCAAAAAGGGTTTTTTGAAAAGAGATGAGGTTGTATCAGCTATCCAGTCTGAATAAGCGGCGAGATGGCGCAATTCAGCTTACATGTTTTGGCTGTCCATCAGGACAAGGATTATTATCGTAGCTGTTCAAAGCTTCAGAGAACAAGGGATAGAACTAATAGACACTAGGTTTTTTGTCCTACTCTTTGACTGTGTCCTGGTTTAATGTTTTTCCCTTCTACTTTTCAAACAACCCAAGGAATACTTAAGAACCCTTTTTACTTTCTAGAGTATTTACCAGTTAATATTATAATGAGCTTTGGAACAATATTACTGGGAAATGGCAAAAATAGTTTTAGTTGAAAGTTATACAAATACAATATTCTGTAAAAGGTGATAAATACACTGGTACTGTTATATGGTGTCTTACCAAAAGGCTTCTGTTTTCTAGATGCACTATAATTAAGAAAGAGTTATGAGGGCTATGGGGTACAAAGAATGAGCAGTTATCTTTGTTTAATTCTGGTTGAGTTAGACTGCAGAGTGGTGACTCGGGACTGCTGTGGCAAGTATTGTGTTGACATTCTAGTATCTCATGTTGCTAAATCTTATACTTCTTAGACTGTTGGTCTGAAATTGTTGCCTGGTGGGCATATGCTTTAGTTGTTGTTGTTGTTGTTGTTGTTGTTGTTGTTGTTGTTGTTGTTGTTGTTGTTGTTGTTGTTGTTTTGCTTTATTTTATCAAAACTATACATTTTTGAAAGTATTCTGTGACTGTTGCAATGATAAAAGTTTCGGGGACTGTTGAAGAGAGACAAATATTTCAGACCATGCTACTGTTCTTTCAGATTTATCTCAGAGGTGAAAAGTATGAGCCACCTCCATCCGTTAATTTGAAATTTTATTTTCACTTGGAGGAGTTTAATTTCTGACAAAATTTTCATAAGGCAAGCAAATCCTACAAAGATAATAGGATTTGGGGATTCATAATATATGGGCAGAATGCAGCTATTATGTTATGTTGAAATGTGTCGAATTTATTGCCAAAAGATGATTGGAATCCATCAAGACAGTTATGGTATGGAGGCATATTTGAATTTAACCCCTTTCACATGCGTGTTATGAGAGTGGGGCACTACCTTGTTACCAGGCACAGGGCTGCTCTCCAGATTCACCCTCCGATTTTGCATTAACTCATGCAGCATCTGCAGTCTAGAAGCCTCCTTCTAAGCTGGCGCTTCTACATGGGCCTTCATTGCTATTGGGGACCTCTGCACTTTTGATCCCATGAAAATCTATGTGTGAGTTCAGTGCTGACACTGTTTTAATATGTGGACATCGGGGGGGCATTGCATTACCCCATCCCCCGTGGTGATATGAAGCATAAGTCTTTATTCATGTGAAGAGGAGCAGGTTTTCCTCTTTGACCAAAAGGCCAATATTGTCTTTCAATACCCATCCTCATGGTGTCCCACTTTCAAAATGCATTGGGTACTATTTATTCACATATCATCATTATTTCACCAAATAAAGGATTCAGGGTGGTTTACAAAATATTTAAAAGTCTAAGAAACAGTTTCTGTTGTCTGAGAAAAATAAGCCCAGAGTGTCCTTGGCTACTCAGGGCCAATTGCACAGCCCTTGGATACTGCTAAATCTGTTTAGGGGAAAGGTATTAGACTGTGAGGATAACCTCTTTTTTCAAATATATTTTAATAATGAAGGCTCACTGCTCATTGTTTACAAAACCTTGACAAGAAAGAAGCAGAGAATATGCACTCTGATCCATGGCAGAAGTTTGTGAGCATCTAAATCCACATCTGGATATTCAGCCAAGCCCTCTTGAACTGGATGCATGTTTTGACAGAGATATATCTTGCCATCTGGAGCCATTCATTACTGTGCATGACCAGTTGTACACAATTAGACCTGGAACATCATCTAGGAATGCAGCTAGCATATTAAAATATGATAGGCAAGTAGTTCCTTATTGAGACCTGACAATGATGTATTTTCATTTCACATTTGTTTTTCCTGTTTTTAAGTAATACACGTAGTTAAGTAACCTCTCTGTTTATAAAGAACAGTTCTTCAAGGCACTTCCATTAGCTTACCAGTTACCAAACACTTCAATTTGTTATGTTAAGATGTATGCCTAACGTGGTGTAGGCAAAGTGCTTGTATTTTAATTATTTTTATTGTAGACCTCCATTATAACGCAAATTTTATTTTGGACACAAAAGCTACGGGAGGTATGTTTTGTGAGTGAGATTGCTTAGAGTCAAAATACTCATTCACTTTGGTCCTTTTGAAGATGACCACTCTGTTTAGAGTGGTGGGTTAAAATATGGCAGCTGTTGGGATATATTCAAGGCAAACCCTTGACAGGTTTGAATTGACTTTGCCCAACCTTGATTCCTTCCTTCCCAAACTGCATCAAAAGAGGCTTTGAAAAAAAACTTACTGATTTCAGAAAAACTGTTTTGCGATGTGCCACAGAGAAGAAGAGTGGCAGATAGTAGAGCAGAAACCTAAAGGTCAGGGGAGTCAGTGCAAAGCCCTTTTTTACACATGTGCAAATGGTATTTTCTAGATTGGGCCCCAGAATTGACTGACAGGAGTAAAAATAGGAGTCTAGGTTGTGTGAAAGTATTACTGACTATTTCATAGCATTCCATTAATCTGTTTTAATTTTGGGAGGCTGCAATTATAGCATCTCAGGGTCTGTCTAAAATCACTTGAGGCCCTGATGCTTCATGTACAGTATTGCCTTTTTTCTGCATTGAAAATGATTATAGTTAATAGCAAGGTGTATTAAATAAGTGAGTTTCAAAAGTTACCAACCAATCTGAGTTTGTAAACAAGATTTATACTGCAAACTTGAGGTAGTTTTTAAATTTATACTGCTTCAGCTTCTTAGTTTAAATTTGCACTTGCAAATTGTTTTTGATATATGTATATTTAGTGAAGTATCTCAACAATATAACAAAAAGTGCTTGGTATAGGAAACAACAGTTGGGAATAAAAATTGCACTAGTTCACAGATAATTTTTAATTCCACAGTAGCTTGAATGAAGGGTTTTAGCATTAAATATGGGCACTAATAGCTCTGTACTGTATCTAAAAGAAAACATGGAAATGTCCTCCATTTTATGTCAAGGGAAAATTGAAATGCTTTACTAGTCAAATGAGAGATACATGGTTTCAGACTTATTTAATTTTAGGCCAACACCACTCCACTCCATAATGCTCAATTGTCAAAGCCT